ACAAGAACAGCTTCCTTCCTGGCTTTTTGGGCTGCCAGCTTGGCCTCACGCTCCTCCTTGGTCAGGACTCGAGCTGCTGCTTTAATACGCTGGAAATCCTCCTGGTTGATAATGAGGGATGCTGGTGGCTTCTCCACGGGGACACTGGTGGCACAGAGAGAGGATGGTCAGTGGGATGGAGATTCCAACAGCTCCCTCCATCCCCTACCCCACTGACCTCCCTGCTTGGCCATGGGATCTGCCTGGGCTGCCCACACCATGGGGGTGACAGGAGCAGCTCCATGACCAGGAGTCACCAGAGAACAATGCAGGAAGCACCTGAGCAGTGGGGGACCCGGTGGGAAGTGAGGAAGAAAGAGAAAGGGCAGTGAAAGTGTCACCAAGCTGTGATGCAGAGGGGACAGGATGCTTGATGGGGTGGCCAAGGGCCTTCTAGGAAAACCCCCCAAATATTCAGCATGGTCCTAATCAACCCTCATTAAAAATATGTTGAATATTCAAAATATGCTGAAAATATTTCAGTCCAACTTGACTTTCCCAACCTTAATTTGGGAAAATTTTCACCACTGCCCTGACCCCTTTTTCTAGTGGGACACGTTGCTCATCCTTGTCCCCAGACTGACTATCCTGGGCCAGATCAAAACCTTTGTTCCACGTAGGCAGATTTTTAGGGAGCAGAAGCTGCTTTTTCCACCCTGTTTTATGACACAGATATGTCCAGCACAGCTCAACTTCAACTCCACTGAATGCCTTGAGAATCCACCAGGCACACAGACAAGGAAACACCACGTTGGCCAAACACAGAACATCCTCTCCCCTCCCTCCAGCCATCACCCGGGACACTGTAAAACCACAAACTCTACCTTGTGATTCACGTTGTGGTTTAGAGGAAATCACCGAAGCTCTTGGTGCCCCCATTTCCCCACTTGTAAAAATGTGGATAATAACACAGGTTTGTTTTCCAGGGGAGGTTTGTAAGGAGTTAATTACACTGGGTATTACTCAGATACCATGGTGACGCGTGTGGTGGAGGAGCCTATATTAACCAAATGCACAGAAGCCACTTTGAAGATGTTCAGGACTAAGAATTTACTCATTATTATTGTGTGTCACCTTTCATCCACCCTGGTGAATATGAACAGATACCTGCATAATGATCATTCCCAAAGCTGCATCACAACATCGGATTCCAGGACGCTTTAAATGGTCACAACGGCTCTAATAAATGTAATAATACAGTGGCTACTGGTTTAGTTTGGTCCTTCTGTTTGGGTGACCAACTTGAGATGTCTAAGGCTTGATTTTCAAAGAAAGAAACCAAACACAAACAGTTCTCCACGAGCTTCAGCTGGGAGTTATGACCATACACCTAGACATTGGCTCATAGCTGTTGGTAACAGGGTCAAATAAGAAGGTGAAGGTAGAAAAACCAACTACCAGCCTCCAAAAACCTGAATTGGTGTCTCTGTGTCATTTCACTCTCCACAAAAACCCCAAAACTCAAACCATCCATGGGGCAGGTGTCACGTTTTTATGAGGTGGAATAAAAAAAACAACCCCATGACCCAGAAATTCCCAACAGGAAACGAAGATGAACCTCAGACCCAACGACAACGACAAGGAAAATTCAAGGAGGTCAAAATGAGGTTAAATTGGAGCTGGTTGGGATAATGGCCCTATTCTCATCTATGTGCTGCAGGCTTTTAACGAGGTGTAGTAATTAGGGTCAAGGTTCTCACAGTTCAGCCTGGCTTATAAAACAACCCTGTAGAGAAACACACAGCTCTTGGTGCACAGGGGCTGTGCATGATGCTCCATGGATTTTCTCATGAGGCTTTTGGGTACCAGGGTACAGGAGGATTGTTTGATGGGTGATGTGGGGGTTGTTCAGCCCAGAAGGAGCTTTTTTGGCCGCTGAGAAGGTATTTTTGGTGTTTTTCACAATGATTTAGTGCCTCAAAAACACCCAGCTCTTGGTGCTCCATGGATTTTCTCATGAGGCTTTTGGGTACCAGGGTACAGGAGGATTGTTTGATGGGTGGTGATGTGGGGGTTGTTCAGCCCAGAAGGAGCTTTTTTGGCCGCTGAGAAGGTATTTTTGGTGTTTTTCACAATGATTTAGTGCCTCAAAAACACCCAGCTCTTGGTGCTCCACAGCTTTTCTCATGAGGCTTTTGGGTACCAGGGTACAGGAGGATTGTTTGATGGGTGATGTGGGGGTTGTTCAGCCCAGAAGGAGCTTTTCTGGCTGCTGAGAAGGTTATTTTTGTTGCTTTTCATGATGATTTAGTGCCTCAAAAACACCCAGCTCTTGGTGCTCCATGGATTTTCTCATGAGGCTTTTGGGTACCAGGGTACAGGAGGATTGTTTGATGGGTGGTGATGTGGGGGTTGTTCAGCCCAGAAGGAGCTTTTTTGGCCGCTGAGAAGGTATTTTTGGTGTTTTTCACAATGATTTAGTGCCTCAAAAACACCCAGCTCTTGGTGCTCCACAGCTTTTCTCATGAGGCTTTTGGGTACCAGGGTACAGGAGGATTGTTTGATGGGTGATGATGTGGGGGTTGTTCATCCCAGAAGGAGCTTTTCTGGCTGCTGGGAAGGTATTTTTGGTGTTTTTCACAATGATTTAGTGCCTCAAAAACACCCAGTTCCATCCCTGCCCAAGCCAGGTGGGTCAGAACGCTGCTGCCCATCCCTCATCCCTTTGTGACATCCCAGCAAACAGTGGGACAAGCTTCACACTGTGACAGACACTCAGGGTCCCCAAAAGCTCCTCGGAGCTGCCAGTTGGGCACAGACTTACATGATGTCACGGATGAAGTCCTTGGTGACGAGGCGGATGGTTTTGGGCTTGTGCCCACCGGCTGGTGACACTTTTGATGTAGTTTGAACATCCCGAAGGAGCACGATGGGGCTGCTGGACCGTGACTGCTGCAGGTTCTGCAAGAGAGGATGGTGTTCCCTAAGGTTTTCCTGCCACTGCCACATGCCCAGCTCTGTCCCCCGCTCCTGCACACAAAGATGCTCTGGGGATGAGAGGCCACAGGTCCCCGTGAGCCTGGGATGATGACAGACATCCTCTTGCACCACCAAGACCTGTGAAGTCTGGGGATGAGAGGTCACAGATCCCCCTGAACCTGGGATGCTGAGAAACATCCTCTTGCACCACCAAGACCAGTGAAGTCTGGGCATGGGAAGGGGTTTTTTTATGTCTCAGCAGCCCCAGCTCTGAAGTTCTGATGGGGGAGAACCAAAAATAACTGGTTTTACTGTAAAAATCAGTCTCTCACCCAGATATGAAGGAAACGATGAGCTGAGAGGTGCTTGCTCAGGGTGAGACCTCACAGATGCTCAAGCATCATCGCTCTTCCCTTGAGCTGATGGCACCTGCCCCTGCCCTGCTCGCCCGTGGCCACTGGTCCCTCTGTCCTGCTGAGCCCCACAGACTCAGGAAAAACCAACCCAGACTGACCCAAACTCACTGGGGGCTGGCAGGGGGG